TGTGATCTGATGTAAGTGGGCGTGGTGTGCGCGTAAGGTATGAGAGGGCATGACTGATGATCTCTGATCCAGTCATGACAGCGCTATTCTCAGCCTGCGCTCCAGCTGGATCAACTTTATTTTTTTTACATAATTTATATATTTTATATTCAAACTGAAAACATGATGTGATTAACACTCAAGTCATATTATTACATGCAAGTGTGTTTGATTTATGGACCAAATTTTCAGATCAAGTTTATGGACCAAGTTAATTTAATTAATAAACTAATTATATAAATATTAAACTATTAATTAACTGGTTATATGCCTTTACTTATAAAAAATAAAAAACTTATTTAAAAAAATACCAGGCTTAAGGCATTTATTTTTTATGCAGGCCATACACACAGGAGTGAAATGGTTAAGACCCCTCCCCCTACAAACACACACACATACACAGACAGGCAAAGACAGAGAGCAGGCTCAGATTGAGCAAGACCACATTCAAACAAACATATCTGACTTTCTGTGGGTCCTAGCTAATGAGTGTCAATTAGAAAGTTGTCCGGCTCGAGGAGTACAATATACATACCGATTTTTGTAACTGTAGATAAAACTAACAACCCCACTTTTGTCAAAAGGTGGCGCTACTGAGCCCTCACCACGCCCGTTTCTGAAACTTTGCACGTGTCTACTGGCTAATAAATGTGATGTGTCTGTCGAGTTTCATGCAATTTCAAGCATGCTAAGGGTCTCAAAAGCATCCTAAAAGAATGGTAACGTTTGATGCGTCGCCACGGCAACAGTTTCAAAGATATCAAGAATCCATTCACAGGTCTACATCTGCCGTATGTTTACATTATACAGATGACGTTTGAAGCAAATCGGGTAAAAATAAAAGGGTGATATCAAAGCATTTTGAAAGTGACACACTTCCTGCTGCCAGTTGGTGGCGCTATAACTTTGACTCACAATAGTCACATCCATGTGATCGTCCTCTTACAGCGAACACACTGCTGAAGTTTCATCAAGATCAGTTAATGTATGCTGAAGTTATAACACACTTCCTGTTTCACGTTTCTCGCCATGATTTCGTTTCCTCGCCACGGCCAAACCGTTCGAGATATCAAAAATCCCCTCGCAAACTTTCATCCTCAATGTCTTGACTTCATGCTGACCGAGTTTTGTCGAATTTGGATCAAAGCTCTAGGAGGAGTATTTAACATTCCATTGCGAGCGTTTTACAAACAAACCTCAATAGCCGACTTCCTGTTGGGCTGGGGTAAAAAGTAAAAGCGCGAGGTATAGATGAAACTATGAGATCAACATGTGCACCGAGTTTCATATTATTACATACAAAGCGTGTTTGAGTTATGGACCAAGTGTTCGGACCCCGTTCCAGGGGGCGCTGACGAGCCGCCCTGCCACGCCCGGGTACCATCTTCAGCCCGGCTCTGATGGCCGCGGGTTCTGACCCGTGTGCAAAGTTTCAAGAGTTTTCGAGCACGTTAAGGGCCCCAAAAATGCCCAAAAGGTACAAAAAATAAATAATAATAATAAATATAGCTGCGAGCAGCGATTGCGGGCCCAAGCCGGTGGCACCGCAACCCCGCTGATGCCTTTAGTTACCCAAAGGCACCGGGATGGTGGTACCGCCGGCTTTGGCCCTTTATCGCTGCTCACAGCTATATTTATATTTAATATAAAGCCGGTGGCACCGCCACCTTGGTGCCTTTAGGTTTATTCTGTACGACGTGTAAAAACGTAACCCCGCTTTGACTATCAAAAAGAAGTGTATTGTAGAGCTTGCATCAATGCGGACTCGATGCGCTGTGCGCTGTAACTCCATGTGGCTTTAAGCGCATCATTCTCCACTCGGGATGCGCATAAGCGTTTTGTGCCACACTGTACTGAGCCTTTCATATCATAATGCAGTGACGCAATGACAGATTATTAATTGCCTTTCTTGTTCTGTTCCATCTATTATATGTTGATAATAGATAGGACAGAGCACTAAAAACCTCAAACAAAGCACTAAAAACTTAAGCTGTTTGCTGTGTAGTCTGAGAATGAGCTGTTTGATTTGCACCCTCTTCCTCTTCACTGTCCTCCATAAAAACCAGCTATCCAGGTCCATGTTGTTCTAGAAAGTTTGTATGTTGCTGCCTCAATTAACATCTCTGCTATACATTTAAAACATGGCTATATCTAAAATAATTTATCTTTTTGATTTTTGTTATCTTGTTTTTCATGAATATTTTACAACAATACAAAGAGCAATGTGTATTTTCCATTAATATAGTTTGTAATGGCTTTTTTTGTCATAGATTATAATCATATATTTTTTGGATTTGTTATTTATCTTTATAATGAAGTTGTCTGTATTAAGTAGATTGTGTTTAACACACAAGAGTGATTTATTAGTTCAACACATAGTTATAGAAATTCTACTTTATCTAAAAAAAACCTGCACTTTATACACACACACACACACACACACACACACACATAAATACATGTAAATAAAAATACCAAAAAAAAACATCAAATGTGTTTTTAGTCAGAGTATTATTTTATACAGAAACAAATATTTGTAATTCAGATAAGAATGAAGTTAGTGTTTTAAAATCTTAAGGAAAACAAATATATTGAAATATAGCACATGAATTTTAAATTCATTCAACTTCAATTACAAATACAATCTTACTTTTATTTAAAGCAAACTATACATTTAAAAGATGGGGGTTATATGCCTATTTTGTCATTTAAAAATATTGTTATGCAAATTTGTTATGCAAAAAGACAAGGACTTAGAGACAAGGACTTGTAGGAAAAATCACAGCCAGCCACACACACACACATAAACACAGACAACAGCCCTCCTCCCCACACAGACACACACACCCACACACACAGAGAGAGAGAGAGAGAGAGAGAGAGAGAGAGAGAGAGAGAGAGAGAGAGAGAGAGAGAGAGAGAGAATCGCAGGGGAAATAAATCCATTCAAACTACAATATCTGACTTTCTGTTGCTCAGAGCGAATGACTTTAAATTGGAAAGTTGATCGGCTTGACGAGAACAATATACGTGGTAAGTTTTGTAACTGTAGGTAAATTGAGCAAAGTTATAACACACTTTATGTGTCCTTTTTTAGTCATAAAATTCATTTCCTCGCCACGGCCAGACCGTTCGAGATATCAAAAATCCGTCCGGAATTGAGCATCCTCAATGTCTTGACTTCATGCACACCGAGTTTGGTTGTGATTGGTAAACACATGCATTGTGATTTGATGTATTTCTCCTAGGACAATTATTCAAACAACCCATAATTCATAATTCATAAATAACTTCCATTTGAACTGTCATAAAACTTAGAGCACGAAAGTTGTTTGGCCTGATGTGATCTATAATTGTACCGAGTTTCATATTAATTCATGCAAGTGTGTTTGATTTATGGTCAAATGTTCAAATCCCAGTCCAGGGGGCGCTGTCGAGCCGCCCTGCCACGCCCAGTTACCAGCTTCAGCCCGGCCCTGATGGCCATGGGTTCTGACCCGTGTGCAAAGTTTCAAGAGTTTTCGAGGATGTTAAGGCCCCCGAAAATGCCAGAGAAGTCGCACACAGCAAATAAAGGGTTAAAATTAACCTGACAGGCGCCCCTCCTCTCACTCACACAGAGAGACACTGAGACACTGGCAAAATTCTGAGATTTTCTCTACATTCAAACAAACATATCTGACTTTCTGTGGGTCCTAGCTAATGAGTGTCAATTAGAAAGTTGTCCGGCTCGAGGAGTACAATATACATACCGATTTTTGTAACTGTAGATAAAACTAACAACCCCACTTTTGTCAAAAGGTGGCGCTACTGAGCCCTCACCACGCCCGTTTCTGCAACTTTGCACATGTCTACTGGCTAATAAATGTGATGTGTCTGTCGAGTTTCATGCAATTTAAAGCATGCTAAGGGTCTCAAAAGCATCCTAAAAGAATGGTAAAGTTTGATGCGTCGCCACGGCAACAGTTTTCAAAGATATCAAGAATCCATTCACAGGTCTACATCTGCCCTATGTTTACATTATACAGATGAAGTTTGAAGCAAATCGGGTAAAAATAAAAGGGTGATTTCAAAGCATTTTGAAAGTGACACACTTCCTGCTGCCAGTTGGTGGCGCTATAACTTTGACTCACAATAGTCACATCCATGTGATCGTCCTCTTACAGCGAACACACTGCTGAAGTTTCATCAAGATCAGTTAATGTATGCTGAAGTTTTAACACACTTCCTGTTTCACGTTTCTCGCCATGATTTCATTTCCTCGCCACGGACAAACCGTTCGAGATATCAAAAATCCCCTCGCAAACTTTCATCCTCAATGTCTTGACTTCACGCTGACCGAGTTTCGTCGAATTTGGATCAAAGCTCTAGGAGGAGTATTTCAAACACCATTGCGAGCGTTTTACAAACAAACCTCAATAGCCGACTTCCTGTTGGGCTGGGGTAAAAAGTAAGAGCGCGAGGTATAGATGAAACGATGAGATCAACATGTGTACCGAGTTTCATATTATTACATGCAAGCGTGTTTGAGTTATGGACCGAGTGTTCGGACCCCGTTCCAGGGGGCGCTGACGAGCTGCCCTGCCACGCCCAGGTACCAGCTTCAGCCCGGCTCTGATGGCCGCGGGTTCTGACCCGTGTGCAAAGTTTCAAGAGTTTTTGAGCATGTTAAGGGCTCCAAAAGTGCCAAAAAGGTAGTAAAATAATAATACTAAAGAAAAATAATTCTTAGGAAAACAATAGGGCCTTCGCCCTTTCAGGGCTTGGGCCCTAATAAATAATCCTTAGGAAAACAATAGGGCCTTCGCCCTTTCAGGGCTTGGGCCCTAATAAACGGAGCAGTTCTTATAGGGTCCTTGAACCATTGGTACTTGTGTCCTAAAGAGATCACTGCAGATCCCCACCAGATCACGGCACATAAATGATGATAATGAAGATGATGATGAGGTGCATGTTTGTACCTTCGATCCACTATGTGGCATTTTGCTGGAGCTCTTCTCAGGAGCAATGGAAGCAGACTGCCGTGATGACGTGCATGCTTCTGTGTACCTCACCGATGAGTTTGCTATGGACACAGACACACACAGGCTTACATTCACATGACGCTCTCATGCACATGTACACCTCAAGGGCAGAAGTGCGTGTTTGTACTTACATGCAGAGTCGGACAGTGCTGTGTGTGATGATTTTCTCGAGCTTTGTGATGACACTGATCGAGCGCTGTTGTTTCTGTCCCGTGTTTTTTTCAAAGGAGGACAAATGTCCAAAAACACATCCTGCCCCTACACAGACAAAACTCATTTGAATAACTATTCACAAACAAATGGGAATGAACACAATAAAGCTGTGTATGCGTCGTACTTATCAGACCGTTATGTAAACGTAACGTAAATGGGGAAAAATAACGTCAGTAGACTATGGAGTGCCACAAGGATCGGTGTTAGGCCCTCTGCTTTTCTCAATATACATGCTGCCACTTGGTAATAAACATGGAATTACTGTATATATTTCATCACGACCAGATGAAAACACTAACTCATCTAAATTGACTGCGTCTTAAAGATATAAAATGCTGGATGACGTATAATTTCCTGCTATTAAATTCAGATAAAACGGAGGTATTACTGATTAGTCCAAAAAACAACCCACATAACCCCTTTCAATACAACTTTCATTTAGAAAGATGTCCTGATACTTTATCCACTACAGTAAAAGACCTGGGTGTTCTACAAGGCCACAACTTGCCTTTCGAAAATCATATTTCATATGTTACAAAAACAGCCTTTTTCCACCTTAGAAACATTGCTAAGCTACGTAACATGCTATCTGTTTCTGATGCAGAAAAGTTCGAGATTAGATTACTGTAATGCTTTATTATCTGGTTGTCCTACATGCTCAATAAACAAGCTACAGTTAGTGCAAAATGCAGCTGCTGGAGTTCTTACTAGGTCAGAAAATATGATCATATAACACCAATTTTATCATCTCTACACTGGTTAACTATTAAGTTCTGTAATAATTACAAAGTATTACTACTGACCTATAAAGCCCTAAATGGTTTAGCACCTGTGTATTTAATGGACCTTCTATCGCCCTACAATCCATTGCGTTCTTTACTTCACTAAATTCGAGGCTTCTGGTCATTCCTTGGATATCTAAGTCCACTAAAGGAGGGAGGGTGTTCTCACATTTAGCTCCTAAACTCTGGAATAGCCTTCCTGATATTGTTCGAGGCTCAGACTCACTGTCCCAGTTTTAAACTAGATTAAAGCCGCATCTCTTCGGCCAGGCATTCACATAATGCTTAACTTTTATACTACTGTTGAATCAGATCGAATGCATTGATATTATGAACAGCAGCTTTGCTAATTATTTCCCATCTGATTTTCTGCTGTTATCTTGGGACACTAGTCCCGAGGTAAATGGTGTTCATCAGCTCCAGTTTGTATCCAGCCTCTCACGGAGACTTCAGATGCCCAAACACCTGCGATGAGGCGACTAAACGCCTGTGAAGTGATGACTCGACGCTGGCGATATGTTTTGCCCTAAATCAGGGGTAGGCAAGTTCAGTCCTAGAGAGCTGCTGTCCTGCTAAATTTAGTTGCAACCCTAATCAAACACACACGAACAAGCTAATCAATGTCTTCAGGATTACTACAGCTATTTGCAGGAGAGGTTTTTTTTAAGTGTTGAAGCTAAGCTCTCTAGGACCGAACTTGGCTACACCTGCCCTAAATTAATACATGATTAACTAACTGTATTTTTTCTATGTAAATTTCTGAAATGCACGTTCTGTAAAGCTGCTTTGAAACAATATGTATTGTGAAGAGCGGTATACAAATAAATTTGAATTGAATTGTGCGTGTGTGTGTAGTACCTTGACTGAGGATGTGGCCATATCAGATGAGCTTTCTTCCAACCCAAACTCTCTCCTTCTCTCCGCTCGGACTTCAGCATAACTTTAGAAAGACAAAGTGTTTTGTTTTTACTTTTCATTCTTTCAAATTGTACATCCACTGTGAAAAGCTTTAGACCAGTGGTTCTCAACTTTTTTGACTCCAACAGTGTCACCACCTGCGCCACAAGAGCTTGAGGCGGTCAACGGTGGACGCGACAAAGTGACCGTTGCAAATCCATTTATCTTTGTGTAAGACGCTATGGTAAGACGTGGCGTGAGCGCTTGAAGTATGTCAGAAATAGAACAGGGCTTCAGTTTACTGTCGGGAATTTGCTGTGTCACATTGCGCTGCGTCATCACTCCCCATTGACCACAACAATTTTTGAGGGCCCCTTTTTCAGAAGTTTGTGATTTACTGGACAAAGATTCAAAATAAGGATTTTTTTTAATATACATAAAATATACTTACAATTTATACCTAATAAAATATTCTAGAACTTGTCATTACTAGAAAATGTGTATTCTTTAGAAAGATGTTGTTCTAAGATTTTATGGATTTTAAATTAGTTTAATTAATAATCAATTTGCAGGATCGGGAGTCTTCCTCATATATCCAGGATTTCCAAGACTGTAGGAATACTGGTTCTTAAAAGAAAAAAATAAATAATAATAACTTGATTTTTAGTTGCTTTTTTCATTTATTTATTTATTTTTCATTTCAAGCCATCTTGAGGACCCTCTGGAAGTTTCCTGATGCCACCAAGTGTGCCCTGGGCCCCTGGTTACAGTGGAGAACCACTGTAATGTAATGTGGTGCAGTTCTGAGAATAGGGTATATTTTAAAGGTCAAATCTGTAGTAACACAAACTAACCACTAGATGGAAACTGAGGCTAAAAGATATTGACATTGTAAAACAGACTCAATTAATTGGGCTGAATACCATATTAACTACTTGGATTTTGTAAAACAGACTCAAATAATTGGGCTGCATACCATATTAACTACTTGGATTTAATTTTTTTAAGTTATGAACTGGCATTTGAAAACAGATATCCAGGTTATAAATATTATTAATCCTAAACATTTTGAAGCACATTTGCTTCAATATGCTTGTGTGATGAAGTGTTTTTGTTTATATGCATATAAAATTGACTGTGTGTACTTTCCAGTGTGCGACTTAGGGTGTTTTCACACCTGAAAGTCTGCACCAAGGTCCGAACCAAAGTTCACGTTTTGATGCATTTTCTACTTTCAGAAAGTTTTGGTTTGGTTTTACACTGCAATTTTGCGAGCGCACTAAAGAACTTCACGTGACACACTAGAAACGAGCCAAACGATCAGTTTGATCCAGACCGAGACTACCTCTTTTCGTCAGACCAAATTTCTTCTGTTTGGTCTGGACTGTGGTCCGAGGAAGGTTTCACACCTGTAATTTTGATTCGGACCAAACTGAAAAGACCGAAAGTCCGGACCAAACAAGGTAGGTGTGAAAGGACCCTTAGACTTCTTTATTATCAGTAACAGAGAAACAACGAAATTCTCTGTGACACAAGCCTATAAAAACTACAATTCCGACAAACATTAAAATGACAAAGAACAACAAATTTCAATGAATTACATCCAATGATATATAAATAACATTTAAAAATAGAATATAATCAAGACATGTCAAGTCGAAACAAGCTATTTGGTGCATGAGAAGTCAATAAATAATGCTTTGCATTCCAAATATACATGTATGGCTTTTTTTTTTCATATGAATGGTTGTGTGTTTTACCTGACCACGTTGTGTGTACAGACGATAAACTCTGGTTTGGAGTTCCACTGGTGGTATGTTATGTAATAGTGTGTCTGTAGCCAGATCCACTGCTGCCCTTTAGTCAGGAACCGATAGTAGCAGGATTTTCCTTTCCCAAATTGCATCACTGCAACACACACATCCATGCACACAAGCTCTCAAGATCAATAGTCTCTAAAAAAGATTTGAGAGCTTCTTACAAGGCCTTTCATCTTGCCTGGTGGGAAAGCTCCTCAAGTTTTCAGCTTCTCTGTGATTCACACAAACAGCACTTTCCAAGCCAGTACACTGACCTAGTTTTACAAGAGAGCGAGCGCAAGAGAGAAAGAGACTTTGAGATAACACTCACATTGTTTATGACACTGAGCAATCAGCTCCAGGTCGTCCACATGGTAGTAGTCGTAACCCGAGGTCCCCAAAACCTCAAACGGTAGGTACCCGATGATAGGAGAGGCCCTGCGAACACACACGTTCAGTACATACTATCTGCTAATTCCAAGCATTGGCCCAATTTACAAAACACAAACTCAAATCTTATGTCCTTTCAGACCCATTAAAAATGGCTCAGCATTTCCCCTTGAGACTAAAGGAATGAAACATGGGGGCTCAGATGAGCCTGCAAACACTCATCGCCATGGAAACCACTGAAATAAGCAAGAGCTTGGTGTCCATAGCCTGCCTGAGTCTATGTAAGCTTAACGGTGAAGTGTCAGTAGGATAGAAAAAAAAAAAAGTTATATTGTGAAATTTTTTTATTACAATTTCATTGAACTGTTTTCTATTTTTATATATTTTGATTCCTGTGATGACAAAGCTGCTTCATGACTCCAGTCTTATGCTGATTTGGTTCAAAAGAAAAATCTTCCATTATTATCAAAATGTAAAACAGTTGTGTGTGTGTTATACATTTTATAAATTCCCCGATGTCTCAAAACACTGTATGTTTGACAATTTGGACCACAGCAACACTGGCTCAACCAATTGTGCGAGCAGGCAGCACTATCTGCATGACTGACCAACAGAAAATGCAGTGAGTATTTAGGAAACCTGTTTGAAAACCACATTATTTTTGTTGATGCTGAAATTCCACACTTCCCGTTTAAAGAGAGAGTTTGACGAGACAGCTCGAATGTCCAATTATAGCTCTGTGGGGAACAGGACATCCAGTACTCACTCACACATGGTTATGTAACTCTCTGGGGGTCAGAAAAGCCTCCTGAGTAAATAATCTCTATCCTGAAATTTATGAATGGCTACAGCTGAATAAAAACTTCACATTAAAATGGGAGTGTCAGAATAGATTCAAGCACACGCAATATCTGATGACATCCCTGGCCCTCGCAGCCGTGCGTGGGACAGCGGAAAGTCTGAATTAGCAGATGTAAGTGGGTCAGAGACTGATGAATGAATTAAGCAAATGACAAATCAGAAAGAGTCACGAATGAAGCTACGAAACGGACCTAACGGAGTGCAGTACAACAGACCATGCAGAACCACAACATCAGAGTCGTTTGCATAATTGAGCGGCATTTGACTCACCTGTGATCTAAGAAGAGAAATTTCCATTCCAAGCTGTGTCTTGATGTGAATTCATCGCACACATCTTCCATGTTGCACATATCCTATAACCCACACACACACACACACACACACACACACTAAGTCTGTCCTTCCTTTGACATAAGGATGAATGCAAGTAGTGTGTAATATTGATTTTGTGCATGTGTGATTTTGTGCACTGTTACCTTCAGAAACTGAGGGGTCACGAGTCTCACTGTGGCTATAAGACAGATCTGCTCCTCTAATGAAGACTGCACTGTGCGTGGGAACGCCAGCTCATAACCGTTACATGTAGACAGAGGCACTGCAACACAGAAAAACATCATGTTCTGTTAAAAAAAAACACCCACAATGACCAGATTTCAGAGATTAAGCATTAAACTTGGCACCACTTAAGGTATATTTTATGTATATTACACCAACTTCTAGTGAATGGCAGTGAATTCATTTAAAATTTATTTTTTTATACTTATTTTATTACTATTTTGTATTATTATTAATAATTTATACACAGTTGCATAACCATAGCCACCATGTTAAGCCTATGCTTTAAGAACTAACTGGCAATTAGTTAAGGGTAATCAGTCTTACCTTTCAGATTTAAATTAGACCAATCTACCTTTTTATGTAACTGACATTTAAAAAGACCAATCTTGAAGAAAAATGAGATGACTAACTTGTAAGACTAAGCAGTTTATGCAACCGGCCACAGGTGTGAATGTGATGAATACAAATCTGGATTCTTAAAAAAAATTATATATATATATATATAATATATATATATATATATATATATATATATATATATATATATTATATATATATATATATATATATATGAATATTGTATATTTTTAAAATAAAATAATAATAATAATTTATTATTATATTTCAATGTAAAATTACACACACACACACATATAAATATATTTAAGTGGTGGTTATAATATTGAACTTAAAACTTTGCCTTAAAAAAAAAGAAAGTTTAAAATGTTTACAGAGAGGACTAGCATTGTTCTGGTTGTGGCTTAAATGTTTTCTTCTCTTCTTCACATTTCCACATTCCCTTTCAGTAGAAATGTGACCTCATAATGACATTCTACATGTAAATCAGGAGACAGACAAATAGTTCCAACATAGGCAAATCATCATCCTCATTAAATCTCTTTCTCAACCAAATACACAGGAGAAAACACAAATGCATTCGTACTCTAATTGTTTACCAACACAGCTAAAGTTGACTTCTCAAAATAAGCAATACACAGAAATACAACAATATCCATTTATATTCATCAATTATTAGTGTCTATGTTTGTGTTGCATGTAGCTCTGGGAGATGTAAAAAATAAATAAAACCCACCGTTACTATGAAATTTGAAATCTCCAACAAATTTGACATATTCATATGTGGGCGGTTCTTTTGGGTTAACATTCCCCCTCGCTAAATGACAGCAGAACTCGACGTGCGTCTCGCCTGAAAGAAAGAAAGTGTGCACAGGGAGAGGAAAGAGACTGTTAGCAGCTGATGTAACAGCAATTCAGTTTACCAGACAAACCCACAAGGTTGAGGTTAATGTTCTATTATGACTGTGGCCTGAGTGTGACTTTGATGATTATCCTAAAATAGAGTACAATGACCTGACAGACCATACAACAGTGTGTGAGTGTGTGTCTGTTTTGTTCACAAGGGAGTGTGACCACTGACCAGTGTAACAAAGGTGGTTCTGGTGATCGAATGAGATCAAAAAGTCAACAGTGACTGTTTTTTCTCCCAGTATCTCTCACTATGTGTGTGTGTGTGTGTGTGTGAGTCGCTCTCTCAGGGATTGGGGTCAGAGCTGTATGTGGGATTATCAGGGTGTTGTAACAGATAATCTGTGTTACACTGCACACGCAGAGCCTCTATAATTAGCCTTGAGTGTAATCATAGAGCACAATACATCCAGGCAATAAGACGGCACGCTCTCACAACATACTGCTTCTGTGTTTTCAGGTGTGTGATGGTTTGTGTGTGTATACACTCACTGCTGTTGAGTAGGTCCACAGCAGAAGGCTCCGCCAAGAGCATGTGCGATGACAGAAGTTTGTACACCTCTCCGTGCTCTCGCTCTGGCAGGAAGTTCAAAATGTTCTGGTCCACCATATCTGACTGAGACACAGCAGTATCCATAGCAACGTCACTCCCAGCTCGCTTCCATCAGTGCTACACAATGCACTACATTTCCCACAACACTAAGCACTTAAGTATGACATGATTTCACAAAAAATGTCATTTTGAATAATTATTCATTATTATTAATTGTAATAATAATTTGCTATCCATGAAAATTCAAAAGATAGGTCCTACAGCATCATCAGCTTGTGGCAGTGTTCTTATTGGTAACTAATACTGAGGGCCAGATTTACTAAACAGGGCAAATTAGCATGAGGGTGCAATTCCAAAAAAGCGCAGATGGGAGTGGAAATTAAAGAACACAGACGTAGCCGGATGCTTTTTGGGCGTTAAATCATGGTGCAAATACCAGTAAATTGACTAGTGAAAACCTGAGTGATTAAATTTAATTATAAAAAAATACTTATTTTAAAAAATACTTCTATTTTTCATGCCAAAAGACGGTTTGTACTGGGCGAGTTGTAAGTAAATCTGTCCCTAAACCTATTTAAAAAACATTTTTGGTAATTCAAAAGTTGGAATAAATCATATATTAGATGAAAAACGTCCATTTTTCATGTAATACCCGTCGCTACTACTGATTGGGTGGTATAGTGAGGTCCTTGGATTGGCCCCACCGGAGCTCCTCGCTGGGTTCTGGTGGAGCGTCGAGAAGATCATGAAACTTGACCATCTAGACATAGTAAAAGTCGTAACAAGGCCTTGTTACTACGTTTAATATCTCTAGATGGTCAAGTTACGACTTCTATCTCTAGACGGTGAAGTCTGATCGTCTTCTTGCGGGCCAATCCAAGGACCTCACTAAACCACCCAATCAGTAGTAGCGACGTACGGTGTGTACAAAGGACATGGACTTAATCAACGCAAGCTTATGGCCCACGCTTACAGGGAATTCCTCATTTATGGCAAACAGTTTTTCAATCCCCAATCCCGATCACGAGTGGGGTTCAGCGGGTTACCCCCACCTCTCGGCAGCTCGGCGCAGGGTAGGCACACACTGATCCGCCCATTGTGGCATGCAGCCCTAGTCTTCTAAGGGCATCACAGACCTGTTATTGGCTAACCGCTCGCTCGGGGCCACGTAACTAGTTAGCATGCCGGAATCTCGTTCATTATCGGCTCCACCAACTAAGAACGGCCATGCACCACCACACACAGAATCGAGAAAGAGCCAGAATCGGTCAATCCTTTCCATGTCTGGGCCGGGTGAGCTTTCCCGTGTTTCCCATTTAAAAAAGTAAAAATAAAAAATTGAAAATGTTGCCCTGGCAACTAACTGAAATATATAGATTTAAGAGCAAAGCTTAATTACTTAAATTAAAACTCAAATAAAAATAACTTCAAGCTATACATAAATATAAAAGAAAAGCTAATTAAAGCACATACAAGTACAAAAAAAACTAAATTAAAAATAATAACAAATACAATAATAATATATGAATAATACTAAAGCCTCCTTGTTGCTTGAGCCAGCATTCTGCTGTAACAGGAACTGGCACCATCTCAACAAAATCATAAGAGTATTAGCACAATCTGTGTAGATCCATAAATATGACCATAGTGCCATCTGAGGTCAGCTTGTTTGATTCCTAAATAACAAGAGTCTGCTAAGCCCACCTCTCTGCTTAAGGTCAAATGTTATGGCTTTGACAGTGATGGAACTAATCATCATCACTATTATCAAACCGCATTTGTGACCCATACACAGCAGGAACCGAGCTAACAGTCAAGTTTGGAAGCAAATCCCATTAGACTGGCAGCATGTGATCACAGTCTGAATGGATTTTGACACGTTTGCAGAGATAAGAAGAGAGGTACAGTACATTGATTCAGGTTTATGAAATGTTTTTTTTTTCTGTAATAAGTTAAACCACTTGACTAGAAATAAGCCAAAGCACTTGACATTTCATGATGTTCAGATCTCCAGCATTTCCTAAGGACTGTTGTCAACAGCTTACAGAAAACCTGCTGTGTGTGGGCTATCTTAACTATATTTAGAAAAACATATCAAAATAGCATGAGTTTGCCTGTCTAGTTAAAATAAAACAGGGTTTTATTCTCAGAGGAATGAGTTCATCCAAATCAAATTCTCTTTAAATCCCACTGGACCCCACCCCATCACTTACCGGCAGATGGCCAATGAGAGACGAGACACTGTCAGATACATATATTATGTTCCCATCTGTGGTAAGAGCTATTAGGAAACCATCCAAAGCCTGCAATCACACAAAAAAATACATTCTGAATCAGCAGAAACTCTCATAATATACTGATGACAGACAGTTGTCCATCTGTTATCAGAACACTGGTTAAGAAAATCGTTTGTAGATGCAGAATGCTCCCTATCAGGCTTTTGAAGTTGCACAATATTTTTTAATTGTTTTCTTAATGTAACAAGAAATAAACAAAGGATTCCCCAACTCATAACATCTTCACGTGTCGCTACTTTTATAGGCATGATTGACTGTTCTTGTACGTTGGAATATCTGAGACTGGGAACTGACAAGAGCCTGAGCATGTTAAAAGGAACTGTTCATGTGTGAATGTTTCCTTAATGCAGGAAACTCTGTGGAGAATTCAAAAACGCCCCATACAAAGCGCAACATCCGGTTTTCTGGCTCTGGGAATGCTTTGCGCAGTTCAGACTGACTCTGTATATTCATGTATTTCTGCTACTGTACATGATTGAAGTTAAACATTTTCCTTTATTTGTAAAATGTGTTTTCAAGGAGGCAACATAGTTGAGCCTGAAGCAGTGCTGTAAGGCATCTCATAGTCTCGCAAAATACATGATGCGTTGACAGCATGGGGCTTAAAGGGATACTCCACTTTTTTTGGAAATAGGTTCATTTTACAACTCCCCCAGAGTTAAACAGTTGGGTTTTACCGTTTTCAAATGTATTCAGACAATTTTTTGATATTTAGAAGAATGTCAGTAAACAGACAGTTTCTGGTCTCATTGACTTCCATAGTATATTTTTTTTCCTGCTATGGAAGGCAATGAGACCAGAAACTGTCTGTTTACTGACATTCTTCTAAATATCAGAAAATCGGCTGAATGCATTTGAAAACAGTAAAACTCAACTGTTTAACTCTGGGAGAGTGGTAAAATGAGCCTATTTCACAAAAAAGTGGAGTATCCCATTAAGAAATACAGCTGAAGTCAAGACTACAGAAAAACGGAAGGTGAATGAGGCAGATATGATGCTTTACCTCCAACATTAACTGGGTGAATTCCTCATTGCTAAGGAAAGAAGGCTTCCAGTCCTGTCGGACCTCACAAGACTCTGTTTGAGCAGTGATATCTGGAAAACACCAAACAGCAAGAATAATTTTTTTAGGAATGCTGTAAGTACATGATTATGGAATTCTGAGAAAGGGAATGTGTGAACTAACAAGTTTGGATGGAACGGATAAAAATCGTAAGAAATTTAAATCAGGCAGTGAGGAAGTCTGCGATTGGGGGAAGTTGGTAATGGCACTTGAACTGTTTAGAGGAGCAGTGAAATCTGCTGCCAGTAAACGTTGTGCCGACGGCCTGACAGCTGTGCCCTGGATTCAGACAGGAAATGGAACTGGGCCCATCACAGAGCAGCTCCTGGCACTCAAAGGTGTTGGTAGTGACACCCACAGGAGCTTGCAGTGGTTTGCTCCACCCACCAAATGCAAAAATAAAGTAAAAAGTATTCTGTTCTTCAAACCAGGGTCCAAAATTAATACTCTGCAAATGTGCGTAAATCATGGCATTAGAGAGTCGATGTTTTAAATCAATTGTGGCAATGATAATATGATCATTAATTGTGTGAGGTGGAGAGATTCAAAACAAATCCAACCAAATCCCAACATCACTAACAAACATCTGTGACTCTGATGTTTACCTCTCTGGAAAAAGTTTAGTTGAATGTCTTAAGGATTTTTTTTTTTTACACCAGAACTCCACGCAGCCACACATATGAGTAATGTTCCTTCCATACACTAATAGGAGGAACAAAATCATGATTTACGTCTTCATGTTTTTGTGCGAGGTGCCGCTTCACTTAGAGGTGAAGACTGGCTAATATTGTTAATGCAGTGAGAGACAGCTAAATTAATTAATTAAAAAATGTCAAATGTTTACAAATATTTGTCCTGGATTATAATATTTAGACAATAAAATGAATGTATTTAACACACACACACACACACATATAACATGATCTTTTATTAAATGAAAATGTTACTATGGTACTATTGAGCTGGGTATCATTCTGCTTTTTTGACTACAATTTCTTAAATATCCAAATTAAATAAATGAAATAATTCATAAAACAAATGAAGGCAATGAGAATGAAACACCAACATAAATATGAATATCAACTCCGAATATTTGAACTTGATTTTTCTCTGACCTTTCTGTTTCTGCAGGAAGTCAATGGTCCTCTGCAGGATGGTGGATTTGTCCATCTTGCGGGGGTGACCTTGACCCTGTAGCATAGTACACAGCTCTTTAATGAGAACATTGAACTGGTCTCTCCTCTTCTTCTCTGATTTATTACGGGACGCCCTGCAGAGAGATAGGCAGAAAGAGATGACACTCACACAACTTCAGACAACTTTAATGGCGTATTTTTACTGACAGCTCTGTTCTGAAACAACAAGTCAAAAAGAAAATGTCTGTATACGGTGATGATGGTGTTTGTGTATGCTTTCTCATAAGGATCTGTAGAGAATTACAAACATAGACCTACTATTTCATTTCAATTACAACTGAGGATAATGATTTTAGGCTTCCAGTTCCAGCTAATGGTTTATACGCCTTATTCACAGCAGCGCCATCTTTGATTTTTAATGAGAATAAAAGCGAGGCTGTGAGGGATAGACTTGCATCTCTTTAATGGGCTGTACTGTTATTTAATGTGTTTTCGGATTGTTCTGCTCATGAAACACTGGAAAAATATCTTTCCAAGAAATGTCAGTTGACAAAAAACTCCCGACAATGTAAGCTGTGGAAAATTGTAAGTAATCTAGCCGCTTTATTCAGCTTTTTACAGCGGATGCCATTGGAAACACGGTAAGTCTATCCCTCACAGCCTCACTTTCATACCTGTCATGGCCCTGCTCTGAATAAGGTCTATACACTTGCAACATGACATAATAAGAAAAATTGGAAACACCTGTTTCCAATTTGAAACTGGAAATTGGAAACACAACTGACAAAAACATTGTGAGGTTTTATTTGTTTATTCAGGTTTCTTTTTTGGATTGAAGTTCGTTATAGAAAAAACGTTTCCCCCCCCTAAATTTAATAATAATAATGCCATCTCCCATCATAAAAACTCTTTCAACCATTTCCTTTATCTCCAATTTTATTCTATATCAGCCCAAAACTCTCTTTCACAAGTAAAATCTATTGTATTGAGTGAAAGTGTGAAGAGCTTTTAAAGGTGTGATTTCTTAAACGTCTTTGGGCACAATTAAAGTTCACAGGTTTTCAGTCTAATGTGGGATTTTATTATTCAACATCATCACACACTATAAAGAACAAAACACACACAGACCTTTTTGCTCTGTCCTTCTCATCTTCGTCCATTAAATCATCCACACAGCTGCTTGTGCTGTAAGCAGAAGAAAATGTTTTCTATTAAAAATTCCTATTTGGCACCATCTCATGGCAAATTCATTATAAATGGACAAAAAGGACAAGCATATTGCGACATTAGTGTGGACTCACTCCCATTCCCGGACAGACGGACAAAGGCCTCCAAACTCCGAAAGGTTGTCCATGCTCACTCCTTCTCCCATTCAGGCCGTCTGTGAAGGCTGGCGTGTCCCATTCGCGTTTTCTACACTTAAAACACTCACAGAAATTCTAATAGATGCCACACACTTACCACCTAATGCTAGTGGTAAGCCACTACTCGTAAATCTCAGATGGCTTGCCGTCAGTGTCACCCCACTGATGATTGGCAGCCGATAGACGCTGAGGTTATGTCCTTAAGGCTAGCCAGTCCTTGAATGACAAAAACTGGCTTTTGGCTTTTAGCCAAAAATTCCTAATGTACACTTGCAGAACTTCGTTCTCTCTCAATGAAGTTAGTGGTGGAAACAGTAGACCCTGTGGAGGAAAACAAAAGGGTGTTTTAATTTTAATTGGATGTATTTATGATCATTTTTCTTCTGATTCAATTAATCTGCAGATAAAATTATCTGGGATTGTTAAAGGCTGGGACACACCAAGCTGACTGTCGGCGGTTGGGCAACGTTGAGCCATTTTTGAGCTTCGGGCGGCTCCGTTTATTTTTTTTCAGTTTCTGCCGCACCATTGGCTCTAGTCAGATGCCTCAGGTTTTTTTGGGTCGATTCAAGATGTTGTATAGGCGTCGGGCCGTCGGCGAGAGAACTCTGATTGGCTGTTCAGCTTAGCGAACGAGTATAAAAGTGAAAATTATGAAAGCTAGCAAAGTGAAAGTTAAAACAGTACAGACAGAAGCGGTTATAAATTCTCATCCGAGCATTCGAATGCACGAATATTTTCATAATAACGTGAGCCAACTGAAAAGATCAGTATGAATGACACTAAAAATGGCATGCAAGCTCTACTTTGTTTTCAGTTTGTATATCTGCAGTAGCCTACTAGCTTCGATTCCCTTTTTTGAATGACGAAAAATGACTATTAATACCTGCTGATATAGACTGATATTTACTTACATACAGGCACAGAACGAACGCATATGCTTGTTGACAGTCACCTTTAGTCATTTTGGTGTGTTCAGTGAGTGATTCCAAAAAGGAAAATACCCCAATCCTGACAGCTCAATCCCCAAATTTACTAACGCTATGAAGCACAGGCCCCTTACTTCTGATTGGCTACAACAAGTGTGTTTTGATGCTCAATCTGATCCACTTCCAACAGCTTTTCTCAGAAATCACTTACTAGACCTTTAATGACCTTTAAGGACTAAAACCTTAAATAGTTCACCTAAAAATTAAAATGTTGTCATAATTTAATGGTATCAATTGACTTCAATAGTAGGAAAAATATATGATAGCTGAGCATTTGATCATTCCCTCGTCATGAAGCTGAAAAACTGTAAGTTCAAATGAGTGAATTTTTAAGAGTGTTAAAATTAAACAATATATACAAATTTTGTTTAAATGCATGAATTAGAAAAAAAGACCACCAACATAAATTAGTTGCTCTCTCTCTCCCTCTCTGTCAAATGAATAAAACATTGGCAACTGTCCAGATACATTACAGTTCAGCAAAGCCCGCTGAGATACCACATGCTGTGTGCTTTGTAATAAAACAAAATCGAAAAAGTACACAGCTGAACACTCATCAGCTGATTAATGTCATGCTAAGATTATTATATTCATTTAAAATATAAATGACAACAGAAAGATCCCACCTATAGCCTACCTTTACTTTAAACATTGTTCATGACAGCTAAAATAATTTTAATAAAAAGTGCAAACTAATCAGTAATATGAATAAATACAAAAGCTAAATATTAGCTTGAAGTGTCATCTTACTGGAGGCACAGTGGGTTATTTAATGCTTCAAGTGCTACAATATTGCCCCAGCCACACTGAGTGTAACACTCTTCTTGAATTGAATATTATGATGTAATCTGTAAGTCTAACTTTTTAAAGTAAAAGGTTACAATTGCCCCTGATCTCCCTTACATTCACAGTGAAAGGGTGTAGAATCAGTATATGAAACATGAAAAATATGGAATGTGCTTCCAAAACTGATACATTTTCATCATCTCACCCCTGAATCTGTTGAAGCACTACTGAACCTGTTCATCATCTAGACACGTCTCATTTAATAACTGTTTCTCACGACAACCTCTGCAATGATGAGGATTTTGGGTGTATCAGAGCAGTTATTGCTCAAGTCTAATTACATACAAATCAGCTGTAGATCTCCACCTTAGTCCAGTCAATAATCCTGCTTCAGACTACAGCGTAAATGGTTCAAACTGAGGCGCAAACATATTTACTGCAATATCCAATGACAAAGTAAAAACTGCCCAAGAAGTATTGTGATGACACCTAGGCTTAAGCGTTAATGCAACATTGGCACAACCCTCAGGGAATGTTGAACCGGCAAGGAGTGCCATGACCTAGAAACATCTTTTATGCCAAGCTCATAAACCAACACAACAGCCAAGAAGAAAGAGAAAAGGTGGGGGAGAGAGAGGAGTAGTTAGCGAGAGTTAATGGAGAATGTGTGTGCATTCTGTGTGTGTTACAAATCCACCAACAAGAAAGAATAGCTAATGTACACCTTATCAAACAGCACAGGGAGAAAAAAAAAAAAAAAAAAAAAAAATATATATATATATATATATATATATATATATCTTCTAGGGTTTTTGTCTTACGCTGGCTCTGTGACACTAGAGGATAAGTGGTTTGGAGAATGGATGGAAGATAGATATTTTTACAAAAAAAATTAGACAAAAATACTAAAAACATATTTAAACAAGATGAAATTTAATTTAGATAAAATTCTATAGTTTTCAAAGAATTATCTGGATTTCATTTTTTTCTTACCAAACTGATTAAAAAAAAACTTTGTCAATGAGAAAAACAAAAACTTAATTCAAGAGATTGGGTTAGACACATACATGGATAGATAGTACAGAAGAACAGAACAGTTGATTTTACGAAACAAACTGATTCCTGATTTGATTCAGTTATTAGGAGGATAATTTAAGTTAGTTGTATTTTTTTCAGGAGATGCTCTGCGATTAAAGGTCTAGTAAAATAAACAGTCTATTTTTGGCTGCTTGTTTGGACATTTTCCAGTAATGCAAGTCAATTTGGTAAGAACCACTGGCTACATACAAAAATATAAATATATTTATATAAAAATATAAGTACAAGCAGAGAAAATACTTAAAAGCAGATGAACTAGGGATGCAAAATAGATGACCATGATATATATTTATACACACATATATACACACACACACATATATATATATATATATATATATATATATATATACACACACACACACACACACATATATATATATATATATATACATATATATATACACAAGCATATATATAGATGATAATGACATATATATAAAATTTACAACAATATACTATATATATATATATATATATATATATATGTATATATATGTGTGTGTGTGTGTGTGTGTGTGTGTGTATGTATATATGTATACACACACACGTCGCATCTCAACTTTGGTTTGTGGATATAATTCCATAAATCTGACTGTTCTAATCAGCTGAGAAGAGGTGTGTGTCAGACAATAACTGACCTATATTCTCACACACACGCATGCATCGCTCTCAAAACATCATTGACAGACCTGTTAGACTAGCCAATGGCAATGACAAAGTTAAAAGGACAAAAAAAGTAAAAATATTTAGTGTCTTTAGAAATATTAGGTTGTAATGGAAAGTTTCTAAACCAGAATCTGTTAGTAAGAGAAACATTTTTCACCCAGACGTTGCCATTATCAGCCAAAATCGACAAAAATGGAAGTGTTTGCAATTTACTTTATATATTTACAACAATTTACAACAATTTCATACTATTAAGCAGCCTCGGTGTGTGTGTGTGTGTGTGTGTGTGTGTATGAATGAGAGAGAGGGAGAGATTCTTTATGATTCTAACCATACATGAGCTAGTTAAGAATAGTTACACCAAAACTATGATGATGACCAGACAAGCACAAATGAGAAGCCACAAGTACAACTGGATGGAATTATAATACAGCACCTCCAAAACTCTTATAAAAACAGCATAGAACACACACTTGTACAGACACAGATTACTCACACTGACACAGACATTGTGTTCTGTCTAAGTTTACTAATCCACAGTAAGTGTGTCTGACAAATAGTTCAAGCCTTTGAACTACAGTTTCGCATTTAATTCAAATTAAAAAATTAAATTGAAAAAGATGATGAAAGCGAAGGAACACAAAAAGACAAAATGCAGCAAACTCTCGGCTAAGTAAACCAACACAACGGCCTTTCTGCTAATAATCAACAGCAAATTCTCAGGATACTATATGATAGGATTTGTTCTTGTGTGTAGAGTGCAAAGACAAACTGTTTAACAATTGGCAAACTGTTAAATTGACAAACTGTCTTAAAATGCAATTTCTTATGATGCAAGAAGAATTAGAGTTGTGATGTCTCTGCGTGTGCTCTAAACTATTATATGTTAACAATTAGCTATTAAAGTCACCATTAAATCAAAATGGACAATTCTTGGGTTTTTTATGGAACATTGTAGTATATATTATAAATGAGTTATCTGTAAACGGTGAACATTATTATTTTTTATTCACATGCCCTCAAATTTTTATCAAAATAACTTCCCCTCCCTGGGCAAGGGATGGACAACCTTTATCAATCACATGAGATCACACAGCAATAGCAAACCACAAAGATTCATCCAACCATCCGATCAATGCCCAATGGAGAAAAATCAAGTCCCATCCTACAATTTTTCTCGTTTGAGAAGCTGTTTTACTCGGATGTAAATCACCACAGAGAAGAATATACTATCTTGATGTCCACTTCATGACGTTTTAAAGTTATTATAAACATTAACAATATGAATTTCGGTAAAGCAATTTGTATAGTGAAATGTGATATATGCTAAAACTGACTTGATGTAGGGCTGCACGATTAATCATTAAAAGATTGCGATCTCGATTCAAACACCCACGCGATTTCATTCCGAAATGAGAACTATTCGCCTTAGACAAAATCACAGCGGAACATACAAATCTGCCACAGTTATCATGTATAGGTATGAAGCAGCTTCACAAACAGTCTTTCCATCCCCACAGTATTGTTATTTCTGTGTAACAAATATTCATATTACACAGAAGTACTGGGATAAAAGTTTATAGTTAGATATAAACACTCATGTCTACGGTAGCGATCAAAATAGAATAAATCAACTTTTGAAAGTAACTTGGTGCTTCAAATAACGATTGCACTGATTATATAGTTATTGATTATACACCACCAGGTAGCAAAAAGTCAAGTGAACGTTAAAAATGTATTTGTCATTGAATCATTAATTCAAAAGATTTGTTTAAAAAT